GACATGCATGTTGAAATGTATTTGTTTGTTACTGTTTATATTTATTTTTCATGGTAAAACGTCAAATGTAAAATAAAGATATTGTCAGACAGGAGTTACCATGTCATAACTATTAAATCATGTTGCTAAAAGTGATCTAAAAAAATCATGAGTCATGAGATATCATATCATTGCATGTAGAAAAACAAAAATAAGGAGGTTTGACATGAGGAGAAAGACTGTTTTGGGAGGGCCAAAAGGTTCATCTGAAGCACATTTGATCCTTGTCAAAATATATTGATTCATGTTCTTTCAAGAGACAGTTGATGTCTTTCTTAATTTCTGACTGGCCATCTGGACTGACTGATGAGGGCAGACTCTTGTTTTCTTTGTAGGTTAAGAGCTAATATGTCAGCGGCCTAATAAGTCAGTTAATAACTATGAAATAGATAATTACCCATAAAATTGAGATGTGGCAAACACTTCCTGCATGGAAATCTGCTAAAGAATCTGCAAAAGAAAGGGTCAGTGAATAGTGATGGTATATGTATAGTGCAATGCACATGCTGCAAATAAGCTGTAGGTGGGGTTTGCATAAGTTTGCAGGAGTGGCCGAGCAGTGGATGCCAACTGTGCCTAAGGTTTTTATGAATTTCCCTTCAGCCACAATCAGTGCAACAGAGTTTCCTTTGGTGTATCCAGAGGTGAATAATTTATGGGAGGATAAAAGCGTTTGTGGTTGAGAGCTAGACAGTCAGACACTAGAGGGAGGCTGGTTGAGAATCCCCCCCCCCCCCTCCCCCCGACCCCTCCACCCAGCCCCAACTGAGCTTGCCCCTTGCCGTGTGGTGGCCCTGCACGATACCTCCTTGGACGGCTGCTTGAAGTGCAAATCTGTGTTCCAACTTGTTCCCGGTGCCTGTCAGCATGTTTTCCTCTTGTCAGCAGCGACTGAGTGTGGGCCTGTGTCACCCTTGTACCACCGCTGTAACAGGATCATTGACAGGCCAATGACACTGCCCAACCATATAATGGAAACCTATTGATTTTTCTTCTTTTTTTTTCTTTTTTTTTTTCTTTTTCACACAGGCAGTCTGTGACACTCCTGAATAACTGGCCAAAGGACAGGTCATGATCAATGGTCCTGATCTCTGGATCACAGCTGCCACAGACACTGAATGGGGAAAAAAACACAAGGCTAGCTGACAAAAAAGTCCTAATGCATGTTCTCAGCAACACGCATCATAAAAACTCAAATGACTACTCAAATGAAATAACTTAAGATTCATTTGTCTAATAAACACGGATCCCAAAAACACAAAGGTTGTCTAATGCTTCCTCCCTTTTTAATTGGCTAAGTCAATGGCAAGTGTTACTTCTGAATAAAATGCAGGTTGTCTCTGTTTTGTGCATACAGGGGTTGGCGTTAGCAGATTTAATGGAGCAATCTCCAGAGAGGAGGCCCCTTTGATACCCATGGCAATGATAAGCCCGCATTGGCTGCCTACCATTGGACCCCCATGGCAGATGGCGAGTGTGGGTCCTGCAACAACACATTTCTTTATGTCAGCCTTGTCCCTCTCTCTCTCTCTTCAGCCAGTGGAATAATGAAAAGCCCAATTCTGGTCATGGCTAACTCAATCTCATTATAATCTCTCCTTTTTTATTCATTCGGCCCCTTGGGATGCTGTCTGCCAGCGATGTGGCTTTCAACCTCCAGAGAGAACATCTTTTGAAACAGCCAGGAGACCTAATGAAGTCACAGAGTGGCACAATTATTTCCCAAAGAAGGAGCATTAAAGTACTTCAAAATTCCCTCCGGAGAAGCATGATGACAATTGGTTTGTACAGCTTTGATCGCTGCTTTAAATACTGCCCAAGATAAACTGCAGGGTTAGCCCCCTTTGCCACTGGTAAGTAGAAAACCCAGAAGTGGCTATCTTGTATGGGGTACATCAAATACTCAGCCTGTAACGCTAAAAACCGGAGTTTAAAATAGCACATAGCCCTAAAATTACTTCCTGTTGGGAATAATGGTGCAAAGTCACACTTAAATCTGTATGTTTCACCCAAAAGAATTGCAACAAATAAAACTGGCCTGTGTACTGTGGATAGGGAATGGTCCATCATCACATAACACACCTTTAAACAACTGAAAGGGTCAGCTCCAGCTGCTGCTAGAAGTTGTGTCTGCACTCTGTAAATGAAAGTAGGAACACAATTTTATTTAAAAAAAAACTTTCACTTAAAGTGATACGTTGCACTTACCCAAAACATTATATGAAATTTTCCCAAGTTTTTTCTTCTACAACTTACAGGGCCATCATCACAACTGTTTATAGTGAAGTACGCACAGAGGGTAATAGATTACATGAAAAAACACGAGACAAACTTAAGTGATCTTCTATCAGGAATCCATCCTTTTTAATTACGCCAAGTTCTTTTGTCATATCACTGCTGCAGCGTACCTCGCACAGCTCATGTTACTCAAATAGTGCCACCAGTACTCACCATTTTTTTACTTCATGGTGATAATGATTTTGAAGCTAAGGTTTCTTAAGGCACCGGTCAATCCTACGCAAACAGAAAAACTGGTGTTTCTGCTGCCCAAATCATAAAATATATCACTTCCTGTGCATCAGATTTTCCCCTGGCAGACCTGACAGTCACAGAAAGTTTGGAGCAACATCGGCAAAGTCATGTCTGTGTTTAAACTCAGGTTGAGTCAGTACTGTTGACTGTAAATGCGAATTTATTGACATAAAAATATGATTAATTATTTTAATACAGATATATCAGAAGTAAACATAAAATAGATAAACACTGTGGTCATGCAGTGGATTATTGTAGATTTTTCCTCCCTGTGTTTCTGGTTGGTTCTCCATAATTGACATTCCAAAACAGCCTAATGAATAAAAATCTGAAGCTCAGAAATTCTGTCCATTTTCTTATCCTGATCAGCATGACCGTGCCTTAATTATCACTTCACCGTAGTACTTTTTCCACCTGACCATGAATATCCACAGACATTTGGCTCTATAAACACCATTATTTTGCAAATTAAGTCTTTTGTTCTACCATATCTCAGACAGCTTGATCAATTAACCATGCGAGTCAAACCTTTTGACCACTCCACAAAAACTGCAGTAAATTACCAACCAGTCAGATGCAGCTCTCAATCCTATACTGTATATCCTCCGTATGGGGCAAAAGTGTAGTGTGAAGGTTACTTTTTCCCCAATATCTACATCCTATTGCTAATATAATTTAACACAGCATTGCTGATAAATCTACTAAATTTGGCTGATTAATAATAATTCACTAAATGTATTTAGATTTAGTGACACTCTTATCATGCAAGTTTATTATTAATGTCACTGATTTCTATACAAACATTTACCTACAAAAAGCTGTATTCTGTAATCTGAGCAATACTAAGTCTAAAAACTATCAAGCCTGAGTAGGGAAATAAGATTATTTTATAGAAATGTTTGTCAGTTACTTGTAATAATACAACTGTTAGGAAGTGCTACCTGTCTACAATTTTAAAATGTCAGTGCAACAAGTTCAATATTTCAAGACAAAAATAGATAAATACATAGATAAAATACTAAAATGGCATTGGTCATTAAAGCTAAATATTTCTTTGATAGTCATAAAGGTATATTCAGGTGTATAGTCATCAAGGGACAGGTATCACTGAAAGCAATATGTACACATTCATATTCATTCAATGCAGATGCTACAGTATATAGGAAAGTTTTTCTTTCTAATATTTAACTTAAAAATAATTCAAGTGTGAGACTTTTGGCAACGGGTTCAACAAGACTTGACCACATACTGTAGGTGCTAAGAAGAGGATCAAAGAAGGACAAACTGTAGCTGTGTATGATGTGCACACAGAACAAAAAAAAAAACAACAAAAAGAAATGTCCTGGGCAAAAGACAAAGTGCTTTCTTCCAGTGATAGACCCTGAAAAAATTTCAATGAAATTCAACCATCGCTACAAAATGATATGTCATCTTTGCCCTTTGCAGATCCTGTTTTCTTGTCTGAAAGTATGGAACTTTCTCTGCCACTCTGCAAAATAAGCACCAAGTTGGAATACATTTGGAGTATAGGTTATGGGCATGCAAATGCTCAGTACTAGTGGTCTACATACTGTTCATTATGAACCTTTAAAGAACCAAAAAGCAACCCATCAAAAATAGGCTACAGAGTCACCAAAATGAGAAAAAAGAATTCTAACAATATGTTGTTCTAACTGGAAAGGTTTCATGTTATAACTAGAGTTTTCTCATTATAAAAAGATGTTGTTATAACAGTTATAATGAGATGACGGTTGAAGGTTAAGCAGAAGAACAACGGCAGAACAAGCTCTCTAAACATAATGCAACATCTTGAATGTCACATCTTGAATGTCACTTTGATTAGGAGAGATTCTTTCCCTGATACAGGCACAAAGAGGTGAAACCCTTCAAAGCACCCACAAACTAATGACAGCCCCGTGTACACTGCTTAACAAGCACAATTTTATTTTATGTTGGCTCGAAAAGAAAGTGAGACATGAACTTAAATGAAATGCTTAGGCTAATGTAGGTGGCTCCTTTTAACTTTCCTTTTATAATGAGGAAGTTTTCTGTTTATTTTTTTCATTTTATATTGAAAACATTTTTCTCATAATAACAAAATGCTTTGTCATAATAACAAGGCACTTTTTATCATGAGAAACACAGGAGAACAATGTTATTCTTACAATGGCAGTTCTGCACTGCCAGACCAACGTGTACTGAAGAAATATGTTATCCTGTTCCTTGCTCATACTGCCACTGTGGTTTTGCCACCGTTATGTCTAACTTATATAGCATTCAATAAAGATACACCCTATAAGTTGTATTATCTAAGTTGATAAGGCAAAGCATACCATTAAAATGTCCTACAATACAGTTTTTGCTTATATATACAGTATTATTAATGTAAACTATTAAGTAGTGTGGATTACCTATTATACATATTGTATAAAGAGCTGCAGGACTAATCTAAAATAATGTATTGATTATAGTGTGCAAATTCACGCAACTGGAAGTTCTAGACAGGCCAAACTCTACTCAAGGTCTGGGTGCTCACAAGACATGTTCATTTGTATTTTGTGATGAAGACCCAAAACCTCTACCATCCCTGTCCCTGAGTGGGGCACGCTGGTGTGCAGAAGGTGCCTCTGTAAATGCTTGATCCAATCCTCCTGGACAGACAGGGGACCCTGGAAGACTAAGTCACAGAATCTGCAGAAATAGAAGCAAAAGTAAGTCACTGTTTCTCGAGTTAAAGCACAACCACCTTCTTCCGCTGTGAAATGTAAGCTGTGCTTTATTGTATATTTTGTTTTATTCTACTGATTGTAAACACATTTCTTTAGCACCCAATTAGATATTTCATATGTACATGGATTGGGGGTGGAGGGGGGGGGTGAGAGGTGATGTGTGCAGCCACATATACCACAAGTGCAAGGAGTTCAAATGTGTGTTGTGAGAGATGTTTGTGGGAGGTTACAGCCTTTAGAATTTATCAGTATAAAGCTGGGAATACACTGTAAAGCGTGATTACTACTTCTGCATCGGGTAGCCATGGATATATACTTGTGTGTCGGTGTCTCCGTCGTTCAGCAATTACACCGCCAAACGCTTGTTGGTGGTAGCGCTACAGCATCCACTGTAGCAATCCGCTAACTTGAATGGGGGTAAATTATATACTGTTATAGATACTGGCTGTTATAGATTTTTCAAATGTTATCGACCAAATGGATCACATTCTGATAGTGAAACGAGTCATTTCGCTTGGGTTGTGACGCTCAAATATATGGATCCAGTTTGTTAAAGCCGTTGGTTTAGCCGCTAGTAGAATTTACTTCAAAAGCACGGGGCACTTCCAGTCGGCTTGGAGGCGTTGCTGAGCTACCCAGCCGACCAATCACAGTTCTTATGGTCTGCGTCGCCCCAACGTGTAGTTACATTTTTGAGGAGGTGCTTGTCAGGCTTGGCGTATGGTACGGGGCTACACAGAGGCTACGCCGTCGATTCGACGAAGCACCAATCAACTGCTCACTTACGGCTGCTGGACAGTCGGATGAATTTCTAACATGTCAGAAATTTTGATCGGCCGTTGTCAGGCTGTCGCACGGCTGAAGTAGAGCCACAAGTAAATTCCCTGCGATCGGTGCCTTTGTTCCTCACAGCGCCTGTGTGAAGTGGTGAACGGTGTCTGAAAGTGCCATGGCGACACGTCGCTAGCTATAAAGTAACATGTATGCCATTTACACCAGCGCCTCCTGTTTTAGAAGGTTGGAACACAGGATGACACCGATGATCAAGACAGCATGTTCGCTGCTTGTTAGCAGCATTGCTTAGCAAACAAATTTCTACCTACCTTGTATCTTTCGAATTTGGTTTTATGCACGTACAGTGTAAGCACTCAGGTCGTGGCTGACCATCCGACTGTACAGTGTGACGTAAACCTTGAGCTTTTGGCTTTACCCTGCAGAAGATTTACTCGTACAGTGTGAGTTGGAATTCAACAACAAGACTTCTAAAACCGTACAGTGTATGCCCAGCTTAAGAGAGCTGATTCTCTCCTGAAGAGGTCGCTAGTGGGGCTTCTGTAAAAGTTGGTGGGCTAATGGATTACTCTGGCAAGTGGATCATACAACACTGGTATGGCCCCCTTAATTAAACTTAAAGAAGGGAAGCTGTGGTCCACTGTCTACACTGTGTGTTGACAGTATCCCTCCCTTCTCACTGTTAAGCTGATTCAGTAGTCTCCCTTCTCTAAAGCCCCTTTTCCACTGCACAGTACCAGCTCAACCTGCCTCGACTCGCCTCTACTTGCCTTTATTTGGTTTTCATTGTGGAAAAGTTATACATGCTACCAGGTACTTTTTTTCGTTTCCAAGCGAGCTGAGCGATACAAAATGTGATGTGAAAACACAGCAGACTACTGATTTGTCAGACAGAATCGTCACTATTCATTGCACCATCATTGCACGCGCTTCATCACTAAATCCACTTCTGAGAAGTTTTGAGGTGAGAAATCAACTGTGTATATTCAAATATTGACAGATTTATGAAAAGTGATGGCAGAACAAAAATGCGCTTGAAAGTTTGAGGAGTTGAGGAACTCTGCAAGTGGCACCGGAGGAAGCCGCCCGCTCACAGAGCCCTCTGGTCCCACTGTCACACAGAGCGCTGCAGCAACAATGGCAGAGGAAAACACAGCTGTAAGGTTTTTCATACCGCTTCTCTGTCTTCACATTCTGAGGAATGATGAAACGTTTTAACTTAAATCAAGAGACAGCTGTGTGTGGGTCGCTGGTGTGTGTGTCGCATTGAAAATTTTAAATTACGAGTCGAGGCGAGGTGAGTTGAGCTGAGCTGGTACTGGCAATGGAAAAACAGTACCTGAGGCCTTTGAGGTGGGCCCCACAGTGAGTTGGGCATATGCCCCTCACAGTTAGATGTGGGGATAGAGGGACAGCCAGTCTCATTTCTGCAGCCCCTTCAGATGTGGAAACATAGATGCAAAAGAATATAGACTACCTCTTTAGACTGCCCCAAAACATAAGGGAATCTGGATTATAAAATACTTAGAGAACAGGCTGCTGTGAGCATGGCCTGTGAATTGCCCAGCGGTAGCTACTCGTAAAAATTTGTGGGCGGTTCCAGATAAGGAATGACAAATGGTCAGAGTTTTGACTGGTGTTCTGGCTTATGCATCTTTTCATCTCTTCATTTAGGGCCTACAGATAATAAATATGTAACTGGGTAGGAGCGCTTTCAACTCACTCTTTGCTAAGAGAATAGTTACTTATGTAACCTTCCATTTTATGTACCTGCAGGTGAGTGTGTATATCTCAGCATTCAAGGATGGTAAAATCTTCTTTTTTAACCCAGGCCTTGGTCTTGGCTTCTTCTGTTTATAACCATAGCCTAAAAAGACAAAACACTGCACTGCTTTATCTAAAGGGATGTATTAAGTTATCACTGGCAAGAGGTATAAATACATAATCCCAAAGCCAAACTATTTTTCACTATTGATATCGACTATTCTAGTCAGCAACCATTTTTGTATGAAATAAGACATGTGACAGGTGACTAATTCATCTAATGTCGACCATATATTCAGTTTCTTTTTAATTTGGTTCCACACAGACACATGATTCTTATGCTTAAGCAACAATTTTGATTGCATGGCGCAGGAAACATTGCAACATTTTGCAATAGTATATTGTAACAAACGTACCTGGTCCTTCAAAAATGGCAATCCTCTTCCTGTGTGTATAGGCTTGAAGATGACCGGGAAGCCTGGGAAAGGTGCTGTTACACTGAATACAAATCTTATTCGAATCACATTCCCCTGAAAGATAATACATTGAAAAACGAAATGAAGCTCAAAGTTAATAAGGCAAATAGATCAAAACGTTTAGGTTGAAATTATGGGATTATATTTTCCATTAAAGCTTTAATGCAAAATTTGATTGGACGATGTTCATTTTAATACAGTTTAGATGATACTTATGTCTAAAATCAAGGTTTAGGATCATCAGAAGTTAGATACTGTAGTATTTAAGGAGAAAAGCATAATTTTATTATCAGGCAAAACTGTTACTCCCACCGTGCTCTGTGTCTTCTTCCACCCGTTTTCATTCTAAGCATCTGATTTGCACTCTCCTGTTTGAAAAGTGTTACTGGTGAAGTTTAACACAATCTTGTGTCTTCAGGGGGGCTATTTTCACAGACACCACCTCATGAGAGTCACAGAGGATTCATAAACTACACATAAAATCATAGATCTGTTAGTCATATGACAGAAAAGTGGCAATGTCTCTGCTGTGCACCATTGCCTGTTAATAAATATTCAGAAGTGGAATGGTTAAGTAGTTCCCAGAAAATATTTCAAAATTTAAAAAGAACCTAATTTTACTTATCTAATTTTAGTTTAGAAAACTAAGAACAATTTCACAACAATACAAAAATGTCTTAACGGGAAAAAAATATAAATATTGATGTTCATTTTTAACGACTAATTTGTGAGTTGTCTTGAACGTGAGGTGATGGTGCAGTGTGAACTACAACTCATTAACACTCTAATGGTATACTATGAATTACAAAACACATCAGTTTTCAGGACAGGACACACAGCAGAAAGTCATCTTTAGGAGTACCTAGCAGTTGCCACTGTAACACAATAATAGAGGCAAGCACCATATCGTTCCATTTAAAATAGAACTCAACAAAGAGCAATTTGATTTGAAATCTTTACCAACATCTTTCGCAGTACCTGAATGAAAGTTTGATTTGGACAGACATTAAACGAAATTGTGTAAACACGGATGATCGGCTTCCAACTAAACATCAAGAGGATCTCATGATTTTTTTATATGAACTTGAAAATGATTGTGAACTATTCTTACATTGCTTAACTGGCTTTGTAAAAACATTGAAAATTTGTAATAGAATATTGATGAAAATCAGGGGGCTGACTGTTAGCATCTACACAATAAATAGTGGACTTCTCTGCTATCAAACAAAGCTAAAATACTCCCCAACTTGATTCTACCTAAACATATTTTTATATTGTGAAATTTTGCCCCCACTTATCCCCCACTTACAATGTGGTCCTTTCATCACTTCCCAGGAAACTCAACAAACTAACCTATTGGCCTCAGGTGAGGATGCCAACGATGGTCGTTCAGTCTTGGCCTCAGGTAGTCTAACGACTGTAACGACTGTTGTTACAGCAGCCAGGAACACATGAACCAGCGGTACCCACTGAGGTTAAATAGCTGAGTTTCTCTACCAGTCAGTCAGAACTGAAGAAGTCCTTTGGATGAGGAACGAAATGTCTTCTAGTATCTTCAACCAAATCCAGTTGCCCTTGATTTTAACCTTCTTTTTGAAGATTCTCAGTCATCCAAGTCATAGTTATCCATACGTCCCAAAACCAACATATTCTGGACATGTTTCAATCAAATTTACACCACGGGAGGACTGATCATTTGGGGGATATGGGTCTATTTGCCGAGAATAACTAATTTATGTGCTGCAATAGAGCAGTCAGGGCAAAAAACTAATTTGGCACATTTGTACAAGAAGATCACATAAATGATCCAACTCAGTAGTAAAATACTTTAAAGAGTGAGGGGCGTGTCTTGAAATGATATGTCTTAGAAGTGGTTTTGCCAAATATCTACAAATCAGTTGTAGGATCCAAGATTTATTTTCTACTATACCCCCTCCTGTGAAAATGAACTTGCAGAGACCTGAAACTTCCATTTGCTTTGGATGTATTGTACAGGACTATTAATGGGCTAAAACATGCAAAACCACCCATACGACCCTTTAAGAAACATGAAATTGCTACATACCATGAGCCCAGTTTGATTGCACATTGGTCATCTGTGTCTCCTCCATGTAATCTTTGGTTAAATCACAGAGCTTCCTGGTTGCATAGGCTTCCTGGTTGTTTCTCGCTGAAAGCTCCATACTTTCCCGTCTCATCTTGAGCAGTTCAACTAAAGTGCTTGAGGAGGCCTTAGTGCCTCTTTGTGCCTCTACCAGAAACTTCTTCTTTTCTGAGAAGGCCTCTGCCTCCTGTTTTGGTACAAAGCTGTCCAAGATAGGACGTGGGCTCTTCATCTCGTACTGGATTTTCACTGGGATGCCTGTGCGCATCAGGACCAGGCCATTGCTGCTGATTAAATTCGGAGAGACAAAGGATCGTGAGGGGAATTGGCTCTTGTTGAGGACCTGGAGGATGTTCCGATGTTCCTTTTTGTCCTGTAGCAGTTCATTTAGGATGCAGAGCGGGGACTTACTGGTGCTGGTAACACTTCCACCAATTCGTTTCAGGTGTCCCCTCACATGGTTGGAAAGGCCAGTCTTAGTATCAAACCAACCCCAGCACAGGGGGCATGCGTGCTCTCCTTGGGTTTCTGGTTTAACAGCTGTAATACCAAATAAGGTTTGTCATAAAAATAATAAAATAAATGTACAAAAACACAAAGCTAATATTCATAATAGTACAGCCTACTGTTTGGATTGTTTTATAATGTACAAGCCTTCATAAACTTTATCAAATACAGTACACTGTACATTTAATGTTATAATCAATATTTTTACAATAACAAAATCAACCTACAGAGAATCTGCTGCTCCCCTCGATTTTACGGAGCTGTATAGCAAGTTTCAGCTCATCGTTTATTTGTCCAGCCCACAACTTTACTATTTTGGTTCATTCTCATTGCTCTCGTAGCTCTAAAAACTGACTGTACACTACCTGCTCAAACAACAGACTGAGGGGCGAATTAACAAAGAATGGATTGCAACCACAGCATACCTTGATTTATTAAAATTTTCTGACACGGCGACAGGATTGGTCAGGATCTGATGTTAATTTATGTTCTGGTGTCTTCTCTTTCTCTGCTCTGTAAAGCGACTTTGAGTTCGTGAAAAGCGCTATACAAATTCAATTTATTATTATTATTATTATTCTACACACCCAAAAGGTCGCACCCATAGTCCAGGTTTACACAGAGAAACTCTTTGAAGTAAAGCGGCCGTCCTCCAGATAAATCCTGAGCTCCATCAGAGCTGTCCAACTATGTATTTCAGAAGCAAAAAGTGGCATTCTGTTTAGTCTGGAGGTTCCTCTGTCCTGTCAAGTTTTTTTAACTACAGTTTTTAGTTTGGCTGCTGAAATGTCCCACGATATCTGCTGTGACATCACTTTCATCATAGTTTATAATAATGCAGTGCAGTGAGGATACAGACGTATCATAGAGCAGATGAGCGTATTTCAGGATGATCTGTCTATCTGTCACTGTTAACAGAGACTCCAGTCTGCAGGGTAGCTCATACATTTCACTGATAAACCATAGAACTGTAGAGAAACATAAGGCTTCCTGAAAGAAAGTTTTTCACGTCAACACTTCTTTCCATATTGCACACTCCCTCTCTCTTGCTCCTCCACATGAGCTCCCTTCACCATCTCTGCAGCCAGCGCCATGCTTTTTCTTAATCAAATTTAGTTTTTTTATAATGTGCCATTCGTCAGCTATTTAAATAGCAATGCACCAGTTTATGCGCCGTTTAACTAGCAGAAGTGGAGTTGAACACGCCCTGAAGCACTTTATACCATGCTATAGAGGCTCAAGCGAGCATTTGAATTATCATGGAAACAGGAGTTTAGTCGGATGGCATTAGAGCAGTGGTTCTAAAACTTTTTCACGAGGACCCCTAAACTGACACTGAAACTGTGGCTAAAACTCTGTATTGTGCAGTTTGATGCTAGTTTGAGTAGCAAGGCAGATAAAACAGGGTTAGTTTTCGCAGTCTTTGTTGTTCAATTTGTATAAGGGCAAGTAAAAATGCACTCCAGGCAAGTAGATTTCAACCCACTTGCCCAACTGGCCAATTTAAAAAAAACATAAACGTTGAACCCTGAAATTAATCGTTAATTCTCTGGGGACCATGAATGTCTGTACAAACTTAGAGAATTGCAATCCATCCAACAGTTTTTGAGATATTTCAGTCTGGACCAAAGTAGTGGAATGACTGACTGACCTTCTGACATTGCCATCCCTATAGCTGAACTACTAGCATGGCTAAAAAATGAACTGCAGGTTATTGACAGGTTTGCAAACTCACAGTTCCTGTTTGATGTGCTACACACCCATCCAATACCCCAGCCTCCAGAAATTGGAATCAAGCGGTTTCTTCTGTAACTGAATACTAAATCACGCTAAAACACAGTAGGCTACCTTTTATATCTCCTTCATTAAAACCTTTTGTGTTGAGTTGCTAGTGCTTAATTGCCTATGACATTAGTTGAACTTATACTCATACCTTTTTTCATTTTTCTCGTGCCACAGGGGATCCTCCTGCGGATTCGTGGCTGATGGTCCTTCAACGCCACCTGCTCTGGCGAAACCATGTGCCGAGCGTTATAGCTCAAGCCAACTCGGTAAAGGTGGCCTCGAACATGATTGGACAGACCAACTCCAGATTCAAACATGGCAGGGCAGTACGGACAGGGCTTGTGTTTTACTCCTGGTGCGGGGAAAACATCAAGGCTGTCACAAGGTGTACAAGGCGACTCTGGGGAATCATCACACACTGTAGTTTCGATATACTCCTCCTTGATTACGAGTTGCTCTATGTCACTACAGTCTTCATCTCCATCATCTTCATCCCTGAGTACATGAGGGCTTTGGTGTTTGGCCGAAAACCTCTGCCTCTTTCTGAAATACCTCCGAGCATACGGGTTCCTTTCATTTTCGCTGCTTTCCAAGAAGCTGCCTGTGGCTCCACTGGTGTCATCACTGAAGTTGCTGCTGCCCTTACAGCCTTTCTCTAACTCCCTATCTGCAGACTGTTTCTTCAGCCTCTGGCTAAGCCTTGGCAATATATTACCATTCATACTGTCAATAGAGTTATGCAAGGGTGTTGACATTTTTCTCATTGCTTGTGCTTGTAAACTCCCGCTTGCCTGGTCGTTCTTGCTACCCTGACAGAACATCTGGTCTAATTTAGGATTTCTGGCTGATAGGAAAAAATCTGCGGTTGCAGGACAGTTTGCCTGCTTTGAGCTGCCAAAAGCCTCGCAGTCATTGTTTTCAGCATCTCCTTCGACACAGGTGAGATCAGTTGCCACGTCTAATTTTTCTGCTGGTTGTGGGAGTAATTTTCCATGCCTGTCCACCATCCACAAAGACGGTGAGAGCATGTTTTTGGTGCAGTCAACATGGCATGACTTAAACTGAGGAGAACTTGCTGTTTTGTCATTGGACTTTTGAACGTATATGTCCCCCGTTTTACTGGAACAGTGGGGGGATTCGGCTGTTTCTCCAAAAATAAACTTAGACAGACTTGGTTTAGACCCGGCAATTTTGGACTGGTCAGCAACCTTTTTAGAATTACCATAGTGTGATCGCTGACGCTCCAGCTCAGAATGTCTTTCCAATATAACTTTGTCTCTGCTAGAGAAAAAAACTATTTTACGCTGAAACTTAACATGGTCCACTTCCTCTGCATCGTTAGTATGAGTAATTTTTCTGCATTGAGGCTGGTGTGTGTTGAGGTGTGCACTATGTAGGTGTGCCTCAAGTGCCTGTTGTGTCAGTGTAACATAGTTACACTCCTCACAGAAGTAGTAGTGCTTCAGATTATCATGTGTTTTGGCATGCTGGACAAAGACTTTAGGGCAGTTACAACCAAATACACACTGCGGGCACTGTACTGTGGTGCCCCTGTCTTCGAATTCAGTGTTTTTAAGACCTTTGATTTCCTCCATAAGTTTTTCCAGCCTGTCTTGGTGAATAATGATGTGCCTCATGAGGGAGTTGCTATCACAGAACAAACGCCCACACTCCCTGCATATAAAGGGCTGTGAAACATTCTCACTGTTCACCTGATTATGCTTGCCTAAATGATACATCATATGTCTATGGAAATGTCTTTTTTCCTTGAAATTAACATTGCATATTGTGCATGAAAAGAAAAGTGGATCTTGTTCAACTTGTTCTGTCTTCAACTGTTCCACTTTTGGTCTAAAATTGTCTTCATCTTCAGGGTCATTTTCCTCATTACAGCCTTCCTGTGCTGTGCTATAAAAATGGGGTTCAGAGTCTGAAGCGGTGTTCCTAGAAAGATCTTTGAATGGCACAACAGAATGTTTAACATCAGACTGTGTTCCCAAAGAATCAGCTTTGTTGGTGATGTCAACATCATTACCACTGCAGAAACAGAAACCTCCATATGTGTGATTGAAGCTGTTGGTAACCTTTTCTTGAGAGCCTGACATGCTTTTTACATGTGCATTGTGCTTCTTGTCTCTTTTGTGCATCACTTTGGTCTCCAGCCTTCTGTCATTGCGCAACAAGCACCCTCCTATTGGATCCCATCTGATTACTTCAGCATCATCATAATCATGAAAGGAGCTTTGTGACCATTCTACTTCCCGTGGAGATCTTGTTTTCATTGTCTGTTTTGTTAAAGGTTGGCTAATGTGCATTTGCTCTGCACTGTCACCTGACAGTGTGGAATAGGCCAGTTTAGACTCATTCTCCTCCGAGTGAGACAGTGGCGTGTTGACACCTGGCTGTGTGGCTAGTGTTTTTACGACGGGCCCCGCTGTGTTCTTCCAAGCGTCTGATTGAAGCTCACTAGGTGGTGGTAACACCTCGGGGCTCGTGTCCTTCTCCGCTTGCCACGCGGCATCCAGGACATTGTTGGATAAAACAGTGCCTTTGTTCAGGACACAGTGTACCTCTGAGGTGGGGTGTGAACCAGGTCCATTAACAAGTGCTCCTGAAGGCAATGAATAGCCTGCATTGGGAACAGCAGGGACACTGCTGTATACAAATGGATTCGGCTGGGTTCCATTTAAAGGGTTTTCGTGTTCATCTGAGGACAGACCTGCAGCATTGTTCTTCTGGGAGAATGTGTGACTCTGTAATGGCTCCTGAGTACAACCTGGGCTGTCAGACACAGATTCCACGGCTTTGTCCTCTTGTGCATTTAGATTCAGATCAGACATAGTAGCAAAACTATCTGAAATATAAAAGAATATCACAAAATTATTAAATGTTCTTTATATTTCTAATCAAGCCATGTAAAGCAAGCAATGTCTCACGAGCATAATAATTCCCTTTATTCAAGCGCAGTATTCAACAATCTGAAGAAAATTTGCTGAAAGAAATAATGCAGATGTAAATTACAAACAGAAACACTGTTGCACAACAGGTATAATACAATCTGGTTCTCTTTCTTAATGCACGCACATAATGTGGTGCTGTTAAAAAAAATGTTTGGGGCTATTCCCCATAAAATGAAAGTGGTATTATTGTGTGCCGCATTATGATTTTCCAACACCCTCTTTCGCCACCTCTATTCACAACAAACCCTGCTGTTAGCCCTGAATACCCTGGCGAGGATGCTTAATTATGTGAGCGTACCTCTGGGATACAACCTTCCTGCTTCTCCACCTAAAGTTCTCAGTCGTGTGCTAAAATTGACCAATTTCCATGGGAACAAAGTACACCTCCAATGAGATCATATTGCGTCTTATCACTCTGTGATGGTGCCAAGACAGATCCCAGCATGAGACTGTTGTTACTTGAATCCTGACAAATTGGCAGGCACACAATCTGTCTAAAACACAAACACAGACCCACACAAAGAAAACATATGCCTTTGCGCATACACATGGATGGGTTTGCTAATTCTTTTAGGAATACTTGAATTTAAGCAACAATAAATTAGTTTATTTTATTTCATTTTTATTTAGATAAACCTTGCTGCTTGAATTTTCAACAAGGATTATAATCAGCATACAATTTAACATGTATATACTACATCTTATAGCAGATGACACTATTCTGTCCAGAGCTGATTTAGTTTAATATGCATGCTCAGTGGATTTGACATCCAGGGCTGGTCGCTCTCTACAGGAAGCTGCGTTGCTAACGAAGTGGTAAATTCAGTGTTAATGAGTGGCTTCACTGTTACCACCTCTGAGGTAAAACCTTCCGAGCTCCATATTCTCCCCATCTGTTGTGGTGTTAGAGGTTCGAAAGGGGAACAGACGCTCCACATTTAAATCGAACCTCACTGTTACCCCCAAACGGCAGGGTGGCAAAACCATCAAAATATCTTGGTTCAAAATGTGTAAGCCTCATTAGCAGCCAACTCACACAGCAAGCTTCTATATATAACAGGGGTTCAACAGAAATGTAATTTTTAAAAATTCATTTGCTTCTATTTACTTCATTTAGTCAATGTTAAAAGGCTGACTTTGCCTTGCCTGAAGATATTTACAGGGATTATCAGCTTTAATACAGTTAAGCTGTATGCACAGATCAATCTGCTATGAGCTTTTTACTAACCCTGCCTGGTATTTCCCCCCAAGACACTTGCCTCGTTTTTCAGTTTGGTCATCATCATTGTTTAATGTTACAAAATAGAAAACAAACTATCAGCTCTTCACAGTTATGTATTGAACAGTATTTGGATTTTTTTACTTCCTGTTCTCTGTTTGCAAATTGTATTTTTCTTCTGTAAACATCTGGTGCAAATACTGTTACCAGTTTATTAGGTGCATCTGATGTAATCTAAAAAAAAACAGCCCTGTAAAAATGTCTTTCTTTGGGAAACTTAGATGGTTATAGTAAGCGGTGTTTCTTATAATCTGTCCTGGGTGTTCACAATATTAGAAACGTATATACACTCAGTGGCCACTTTATTAGGTACAATTGTGCATTGTAATGCAATCCAACACAACAGGATTACATTATATTGACAGGTTTTTCTAATATTCTGAGGTCCAAGACAGAATCAGCACCTTGTTTGCCAGCAAAAAATTGATTCATTGTTTGGTTGTTGTGTTGGATCCTACTGAATTGTACAGTAAACTGCATCAAATAAAAGCTTTAATTTGTACCAACAGCAAAAATAAAATCACTTCAAGTTATAGAGTTTAAAAGGATCTCAAGCGGCATTCTCTAATAGTTGGTGGGCTGGGAAGCATGCCATATACTCAAATCAGTATGGCTTTGAGTCTAGCTCCCAACCTCATTGCATGTCAAATCCAATTTGCTTTCATCTTTGTGTCATTCTCCACTGTGCACAATCTAATTTGCCAGAACAGTCGTCTATAAAAATGTTTTGCCTGAATTACTTGTTTTACTACACTAGGTAACTGTGTTAAGTAGTCATTTTACATGTGTTCTTTAAAGCGATATTTATATAATGGTAGAGACAAGTTCAAAGTCAGCCACCTACTTCCATCACAAAGATACTGAGTGCAATGGTTAAGCATTCTTGTATGACCTAACAGCGTAATTTTTTTATTGTTTTCTATCTACATTTTAAGACCCATCTATGCTAAGGTTTAAATCTATGGAAGGGTGAAGACAACATCCTGGTTTTTCTAGTCACATCTCCTTTGTTGCATTGTAACACTGACTCACAGGAGCTCTGGCTTCTCAAAACAGCAGAATCTTCATTTTACGAGACCATAAGATGTAACTGATTAGAATAATTATTTAATTATTCAGAGTTTAGAGAATAAGTAACAGTTGAATTAATATAAACCTCTAACAATAAAGATAAGTTACTATCGTGGGACTTTATATGACATGGGGGCATGGGGAGTTGGTGGGCCATTAATGCTAGAGTCGATGGTTCAATCCCTGGGTCCTACTGCCCACATGTTGAAGTGGCCTTTGAGCTACATATACATAGAAAGACTCAAAGTATATAGAATTTACTTGATTAAATGCAATAATGGCCAAAGGTTTTAGGCAGGTGTGGAAAATGTTGTCAAGAAAGAATACTTTAAAAATGGACGTGTTAATGAATTATATCAATAATAAAATACAAAGTGAGTGAACAGAAGAAAAACCTAAATCAAATCAATATTTAGTGTGACCACCCTTTGCCTTCAAAACAGCATCAATTCTTCCAGGTACACTTGCAGAAAGTCAAGAATTTTGTAGGCATATCTTCAGGTATATGATTCAACAGTTGTCTATGAAGATTCTCAGTCATCCAGGTCATAGTTATCCAACGAAGGTTAAAGTCAAGGGCAACTGGACTTGGTTGAAGATACTGGAACCACAGTATCTTCAACCAAGTCCAGTTGCCCTTGACTTTAACCTTCGTTGGATTCAACAGTTAAACCAAACAGGTGCTAATGAGCTCCAATTCAATTCATATGTAGGTTGAAACACCATCATTACCTGAAACAGAAAGAGCTGTGTTGGAGGAATACAGCTGGGTGAGGAACAGCTAAACTCAGCTAACAAGGTGTGGTTGCTGAAGACAGTTTACTCTCAGAAGTCAGACACCATGGCAAGACAGAGCACAGCAACAAGACCATGGTAGTTACACCGCATCAGTAAGGTCTCTCCCAGGCAGACATTTCAAGGCAGACAGGGGTTTCCAGATGTGCTGTCCAAGCTCTTTTGAAGAAGCACAAAGAAACGGGCAACACTGAGGACCGTAGATGCAGTGGTTGACTGCAGCAGATGAAAGACACATCGTGTTTACTTCCCTTCACAATCAGAAGATGTCCATCAGCTCAGAACTGACAGAAAACAGTGGGACCCTGGTACACCATCTACTGTCCAGAGAAGTCTGATCAGAAGTGGCCTTCATAGAAGACAGCCAAAAATCCATACCTCCGACATGGAAACTATGAATTGGGTGCAGAAAAATAGCAGCAGGTTCTCTGGACTGATGCTGAGGCTGCAGCAGAAGGTAGTTTGTCTGCTTAACAACACAGGAATATGATTCAACAATTCATTCAGCAGTACAAAAATCAGTGTCTGCAGGCAACAGTAAAGCACGGTGGAGGTTCTTTGCTGCATTTCTGCAAATGGAGTTGGTGATTTGGTATCAATGGTCTCCTCAATGTTGACAAGTACAAGCAGATTCTTATCCATCATTCAATACCATCAGGGAGGCATCTGATTGGCCCCCAAATTTATTCTGCAACATGACAACAACCCCAAACATACAGCGAAAGTCATTAAGAACTACAGTTTCAGGAAGAACAGTCCTGGAAGTGATGGTATGGCCCCCACAGAGCCCTGATCTCAACATCATCAAGTCTGTCAGGGATTACATGAAGAGAGAGAAGCAACTGAGGACTGTGGGTAGTTCTGTGGGTAGATGTTTGGGCCAACCTACCAAGTTCCAAGTGTTTCTGTAAGAATTTATGCTGTTTAAAGATAAAGGGTGGTCACACCAAACATGGATTTAATGTTTTTCTGTGCATTCACTTTGTATTTTGTTAATTGATAAATATAATTTATTTTTGATAGTAACATTTCCACTCCTGCCAATAACTCTTGCACAATACGATACATTTTGTTGATTTGTTAATATGTTATTTGGAAATGCAAAACAGCAGAGTACACTTAATACAAAAGTAGTTAAGAACTGATACTGATTAGTAATTGAAAATGTATGTAAATGTATTGCTGAGTCCGTTATCATTTTAATGCCAAAAATTGCTTGTAACAGCTTCTTAAATGTGAGTATATGATTTTTTTCCTGTTTTATATAATTGTATATTGAAAATGTTGGGTTTGTTCACTGTTGGCTGAACGAAAGAAGCCATTTGGACCCCTTAGAGCTCTATAAAATTGTGATGACAAACTAATTTCTGACATTTCATAGACAAAACGAATAATTGAGAATGAAAATAATTGTTTGTTGACATCCAAGACAACTGCCCACTACAAAGAACATTCCATAAAATAAATATATCATGTGACATTTGTCTTCATCTTCAATTGTCAATTATCTAATGCGGACAACTGAAATACACAAACTCTAAGTCTTATAAGGACAACAAACAGATTGTGGAAGAAGAGTTTGGCGCTGTAGGCTTGTAAGGCTGTGAATGTCTAAGCAGATTCCTTCTTCCTGTTCTACAGAAGACCCAGGCTGGCAGCACAGTGGAGACAGCACTAAAAACCAACTGGGACCAGTCAGCCAAACCATTTCAACTGCTGGAGCTGTCTGTATGGATCAACAGCCA